CAACGTTTTTATAAGGGCACATGTTGCCACGCGGGTCATTCACTAATAAATCTAGGTCGATTTGATGGGTGTAATCGTAAATACTCAATTTTATGTATGTGCTGAGAATTTTTCTTGCATGGAATTTTGGCTTGTTCTGGATTATGATGAGTTTGAGATCGACCTTGAAATATCGCTGAATACTTCATGGTTTTCAGTCTTTTCAGTCGATTGCCCATAAAGACGTATTCTATGTGTGCTTATTAAAACCCTTAAAATAAGATTCTTTTCGAGGGCATTTACCGAAGTAGTGAGTATTTAGGCGTTCTTTTCCATGTAGTAGGCCGTTTAAGTCAAATTTGGCGATTCACCAAAAAATGAAACCTCATTGGCGAATGAAATGAACGTTCAAAACAAAAGTCACTAACGGATATGTGTCCGTTCAATTAGAAACCCCTCCGTAATAAGTTACCTTTTTAAGAAGTGCATTAATACTGCATTCTGCTGGCGAATGTCTGTAAACCTTAAATTTTTGCATGGTCAAGCCAAAACAAAGTGGGAGGTTTTTGATCGCATCTTTCACGTTTCAAACGCAAGAACACGCCTTTCTCTTTGTATTGTGTTCACTTATAGCCTACGTTCCACCATTATGAATGCAGAGCAGAGTGGCCATACGAATGTCGATATTTTGCTGAAGCTGGCGGAGAAACTATCGCCACATAGTTATCTAGATACCTTTGGATTCATTAACGGCGTAAAAGACCTCGATCTGATCGAAATGGTCATATTTTCGTTAGATGTCTCATCCCTTTTTACGAACGTACGGGTAACGAAAACGGTCAACTACCTTTGTGATTTCATTGCCGACACTCAACAGGATATAGGAATGCCAGTGAATACCTTCAAGGAATTGCTATTGAGGTGTACCTTGAACGTGCATTTCCTATTCTACAACAATCCATATAGGCAGATGTACGACGTAGCTATGGGCTCGCCTGTTTGTCCGCTTTTGGCGAACATATTCATGGAAAAGTTAGAAGCTTTCCAGCTACGTCACCAGATCAACGGTTTAAGATACTATGGGCGGTACGTGGATGATATATTTGCAATTAGATGTGCTTCTGAGTAGAAGGCCTGACGGCAACATTCGACATAGTGTCTATCGTAAGAAAACGTGGTCCGGACAATACACCCATTTTGGGAGTTTCGTACCGCACAACGTTAAACGTAATTGGGCCCGCTGTTTTGACAGAAAGAGTGAGAAGAATCTGCTCAGCTGATAGTGTTGAAAAAGAGCTTAAGATCATCGAAAGCCTTTTTCGTCGGAACGGGTATCCTGATCGAGTCATTGCTAAGAACATAGCCGAAAGACCACAAAAGCCCCCGATACTGACGGCAGGAAAGAAAAGGCTCTTCATCAAGGTCCCATTTCAAGGGGATGCACCAAGTGAAATTTTAAGAAGACGCCTAATTCAAGCTGTATCACAGACCTTTCCAGCAGCTGACACCCGTGTACTGTTTTCCACCAGCCCCATCCTATACGGAGAAGGCAAGGACAAACTACCAGCTCAGACCACCTCTATGTGTATTTACTCCTTCACCTGCTCCTGTGGGGCAGAATATATTGGTCGCACGAGCCGGTGTTTATCTAAAAGAATAAAAGAACATCCTCCAGCATGGTTAGGAAAGGGTCAGATAAAGAACATCAACGGCTCTATCCTCGCGCACATGGTTGACAGAGACCACCGTGTAGGCCGTCAGAGTGATTTACAAGGTACCATCAAGCTATCCAAAACTGCTTGGGCAGCGCTTGTTGGCTACGACAGAGGCGGCTGCAATCAGGCTACGCGGACCGGTCCTATGCGCATAGAAGAACTTCATACAGGTCCCACAGTTACCATGGCTCAAAGCCAGCAAGCCAGCCACCCGCATGTACTTACCTTCTCCGGGACCTACCTCACTGGCGCTGACTGGAATTGTGGTGTTTCACTCTCCCCATCCCCTCCCAAACTCAAGCCACAGCTTAATTATCTACTTGCCCGTATCTTTTAATTCATTACTTCAACAGCCATATAAATGTACAGGTCTGAAGAGAATTTATCGAAGGCAGACGTATGCTCGCCAAATTGCCCTTTGAAACTATTATTGTTTTGCTCGCTTTCTGTTTCCAAATCTCGTATGCACCGAAGCTGTGACGCACGAAAGGTAAGGTTTCATATGTAGTTGATATAATTTTCCAAACGGCAAAACAATTTCGGTCCTCTTATTCACAGGATTGACTGCGTGCATTAATACTGCACTTTAGGGCCCCAGATCGCACGGATTTGCTAGTCTGTGTTCTTAAAATAGTTGAAAAGGCTGATTCTTCATGAATAACTCGTATGCTTGTAAACTGATGCCCACGCCTAGCACCAGACAATGATCCGTTTTGAAGTGGATAACTGTAAAAGTGTGATTTTCTTTGCTGTCTGAAGGAGTAGTCCTCGTTAGCAGTCCGAGGTGCGACTCTGCCCTGTGGTTTTCTAGCTGTCTGTATAGGGAGTGCATTAGGTGGACAAATTCGGATACAGACGACGACTCCGCAACGACTAGCAATGGGCAAATTTCTACACAACCTTCTTTGTTTCTTCAAGTCCGCCGGAAGTTTGTCGCCTGGTCGGGTCGGCGAGGGTCATGCAGGGACACAGGGCCTCCAAGGAGACGTCTGCCGTCTGGAACGTGGATTCGATAGGCCCGTGAGTGCTGCCTTTACCCATGCTTGTTATACCTTTCATTTGCAGACGACGACAGTACTGTTTATTATTTGTTTTCCTCATTACCTCCCGTCGCGTGGCCAGTGTGCTGAAACTAGCTGGATTGTGCGTGTACATGCTACACGGAAGAGGTTCGTATCTAGTGCCTCTATGGCTCGCGAATCCAGCACTCAATATCTTGCTGGATTTGAGAAGTTGTTTTGTCACAATGTACTTCCAGAAGCCATCGTTCTAATAACCTTCTCGTTGACATTGCCGATTGTGTTAAGTGTTTCGAATTACTCATCTTCACTGTGCCGCCCTCTGCTTAGTTTGCCTTGTCGGACGAAGTGGCGTGTGCCCTCGATTGTGACTTCGGCTTTCTTTCTCAGTCAGCGCCTCCGCAGTTGCTTGTGATTGTTGCCTTTTACTAGACGATATGGTAGATGTTTATGATAAGAGGGAGAGATTGTATTGGGGTGTAATCTATCCCGGTTAAATGCATGTTTGATGCTGAGCTCAGAATGTAGATGCTTTCGGTTTCAATGACCTTCAAAACCGGATACTTTTCCCGCACATGGCAGGTTTCTTTGCCCGCCTCCAGCCATCGGGAACAAAGATGGGATTGGAAAGTGTGCGAGGTTGGTGCTACGAAAGTCGGCCTCACTTTGATCTGACGTGCACGAAATAACACCGCGGCGCACCGATGCTCTAACCGTGTATGCATATATGGGCCGAGGTCCATAAGCCACGGGAGTTTCTCTGGGCGCTCCCAGGCGGTAACACAGTTTGATCCAGTGGAACTAAGGGATACATACTCACTCAGCTCTCACTACTATCGTATTCTCTGAGCTACTGTTTGCTGCTCCGTGTGAGACAATATAGTCTTCCCGCTTTTCCGATGGAATCCGTAGTTTTCATGTTTCCTTGTGGAAAATGTTAGCCTACTTGTCCTCGAGGAATTTAGCCATGATCACCTCGACAGCAACATGTTAACGCTAATTCACAAATTTCCCCTTCTTAAGACTCCTAAAAGTCGGTCGTCTCTCCCGGGTAAGGCGGACAACACACTCCGAGAAGATGCGTCCGTAGCCGGCTTCAAGGACCGTCCAGTTGGGGCTTTCGACGTCGACGTGGAGGGTGAATATGAGATAGTAAGTGCTGTTCCTCTCTCTCTCTCTACCTCTCTCTCTTTCTCTCTCTCTCTCTCTCTCTCCGAAAGTCATCATATCGGCGATCATATCATTTTCTGTCGTCAGGTTTCATGAGATAGGTCAAGTACTGTAAGTGCGGGTTTTTGACGGTATTGACAATTTCTGCCTTTTAAGTGCCCCATCGCGAACCTGGTGTTCTAGTGAGGGCTGGGTTATCACGTGGCGACTATTGTAACCGTTGCGGGAGCTATGATTCAAGCACATCCTTTTCGGAGGTATTTTCAGCCCGAGATTGTCTCGAAAGCGCCAAAATGACAGTTGGAAAGTGGAGTTTTATCAGGACCCTCGTGGTGCCTGTATAAATCCGGTTCTTTTTACTGTTTGTGGGAAATTTCCGCCCAGTTGTGGTCGAGGAATTTAATCCTGATCACACCGACAGCAACATGTTAACACTGATTCACAAATTTCACCTTCTTAAGATTCCTAAAAGTCGATCGTCTCTCGCGGGTACGGTGGAGAACACATTCCACGCCAACGTGGATGGTGACTATGAGATGGTAAATACAGTTTCTGTATATGAATGTTTTCGAGGCTGCGCTTATCCTTAACCGCGTAAAAGTTAGATGTTTTTGTAACTAGAAAAATCCTTTTTTTCTCTCCAGATGACATCATGTCTACGATCTCCAGATCTTGAACAGAGTTCTCCCCCACCTGACCTGTATGAATAAGGCACTTTTCCTCATTTCAGGACAGGCTTATTAGAGATGTGGTCTTTGCCAGACTGTTTGTAGACAGCTCCTTTTACCCCAGTCGACTTTTGCATAAGTTAACTGAACCCCTGGTATAGAGATTTTCCACTCACGGAGCCTATTTGATTCAGCTTTTTTGTAGACATTCGCGACGACGGCGGGCGGGAGAGAATGTATTGCTGCCCTAGTTTTAAGTTACTACTTACAAATTCGTTGCGGCCTTTAGCATTGTCAGTCTTCACAAAGGTCAGTTGAAGTGAATAAGAAGAGTCGAGCACCGGAACAATTCGTTTATTATCCTGAGCTTTCAGACTCGTACAGGAGTCCATCGTCAGAGGTAGTGGCAGAAACAGGATAGGCGACAGTTATAAGGCACGTAGGCCCAATCATCGACCGACGTCGCACGCCGGCGCCAGATCGATAAATCGATTGACCGAGTTCTCATCCGAGGCCCAGGCTTCAATCAATTCTCTGCCTGTCTTGTTTCCGGCGTGGGCGACTATTTTGGTGGCTGCGAAGTCAAACTCGTGACCCATTTCGTAGGTTTCTGCCACTACCTCTGACGATGGACTCCTGTACGAGTCTGAAAGCACAGGATAATAAACGAATTGTTCCGGTGCTCGACTCTTCTTCTTCACTTATGCATACACCTGGAACTCAAAATTTCGCCTTCATTCGCCAGTTGAAGTACACGATAAGTGTTACAGCGACTTGGGTTTTGACAATACTGACAAAATTCAGCTCCTTCTAATGCCTATCCTCTGACTGCTCTTTCAACGCGTCGCAGTTGACTGCCAATGAGTGTGCAATAGACGCCCAAGTTTTGTGAACGTTTGTTATGTCACGAACAACAAGTCACGGCGCTCGCAGCCTGGCCTGCGCTGGTAGTCCTCCGGTACCTGGTTTTCTGGCGGTAGATGCGCTTGCGTTCCAGCTGGATATACAGGTTGAATGCACGGATCAATGTACTCTGTAGTCCGAAACTGTGTGCCGCATTCATATAGATGACTCCGCAGCGCAAGTACTTACTACTTTTACTTGGTGCGGCTGCGATCATGCCTGATTCAGCCGGCCTCGATGATGTCCCGAACTGTACCCCTCCACGTATGACGATCCGTGGCAGCAGATCTAGATAGCTCAACCCATGCACTTCGACAACTACGGAGACCGAATGCCGAAGATCCAGAAACCACCTCCATGTCTTGGCGAACTGTGTCGAGGCAGGTTTCGAGTTGATCCCCTCCTGGACGCCTCCAATGGGGTAACGGTGCCGGATCGAGGGCAGTAGCACTGAGCTGCTGAGGTGGACGACTGCGCAGGTGCGTCCTCCAACTTTGAAAAGCGTATTTCAAGGCCTCAGTCAGGGTTTTCTGATCTTCAGCGCATTCTGGATTCTTCCTGCTCCGACAGCCACTTTTTCATGCACGCCCTGCCTCAGGGTAAGCGTTTAAATGTCAATACATAGTAAGAGCTTCTGGACGCTGCTCATTTTAAGGAAGAGAGTTAACGCGCCAATCCAGAACACTGAAGTGAGAGAGGTTTTTCGTGGCCTCGATCTCTTTGAAATAATGTTGAGGAGGAGAACTTGGGGCACAGGGCAGTGCTGTTACAGACCTGATGTGCGCCGGCAGTTCTCCGGTACCTGGTTCTCTGGCGGTAGATGCGCTCTCGCTGGGTAGACAGGTCGTGTGCGTGACTGCCCAGTCATCCATATCTTTTCTGTTGTTGTTGCTGTTGCTGTTGGTCAAATCCTGTGGACCAGGGGGTGTGTAGTGGAGCTTCAAAGTGCGAGTTAGGCCGTGCCATCCACCTGCGGCTTCCCCGCCTCAGGCCACCTTCAATCTTTCTTGACACCGGGTCCAGGGGGGAGGAGAGAGTGCAATAGATGCTGCGCAAGTCTATTCTCACGTTAAACTAATTTACGCGCAAGTCACTGTGCCTGATTCATCTTGCTGTAGAGCACACGGTGGATACCGTCGAACACGGCGGTTAAACTATCGTGCAATACACGCAGGAGTTTCTTTACATATACACCTCCAAGTGTCTGGATCGTAAAACGATCTCCGCCTACAAACAGGTGACTGAGATTTCCCACACAGCAACTAGAATGCCGGATATGCATGCAAATGTGATATCATGTTGACTGCGTTTCGGGAGAGAACAGAGGGACGGCATCGACTTTGACGTCCAGCGCTAATGTCGATCACTCGGGGCGCATTCTCTTATCACTTGCTTGCATCATGAACGTGGGGATTTGAATTGAAACAGCTTTTCGGCCGCCCGTGAATTATGCTGGAGAGGAGGTATTCCCTAAAGTCGGCTTCATTTTACCTCTCTCCCGAAGACCACTAATCGTCTCCCGTCTCGCCGGTTTGACGACAACGGATCGCAAATGAATGCATCAACAGCAAACCACTCTGTCCTTCCTCAGAACCCGGCAGGCCCACACCAAGAGCCCGTAAGTGCCAACATTTCATGTCCATGTTTTGGATGCTACGAGCACTCAGTTTCATGTGCACGTTCGTCGCAGGTTGTAAAACCAGCCACGAAAGACTAAACGAAAGTTTTGTGAGTGCTGGGAATTTGACACTTTGTTTAAAGACAGCCATTTGCGGCTCGTAGGTCTTGGAGCTCTGAAAAGCGAATCAGCATGTGAGACAATTAGGCGATCTTGTCTGCGGAAAGGGAAGTGTGTAGGTTCATCACCGGTTAACCTAGCACCTCATAATTCTTTGATTGCAAAGAGGTTTCCGCCCTTGTCACCGTCAGATATTCATTCGCGACTTTGTAGGAACTCGTGTTTATCCTGACTGGTTATTTATGGTCATAAGTGGGAAGGAAACCCCGGCGATATTTCGCGAACATTGGGCATTCACTTAAATAAGTATCTAAGAAAAGTTAGGACAGCGTCCTTCAGGTAAATCGACCTCGCGGAACCTATTTCGCTTATTTTTGACCTACTATTTAAAGTTAGTAAAACCATTGATCCAGCTCATGAGATGTTAACCAAAATAATGAAATGCGCCTTCAGAATTGTAATACTGATCATCATACAACAAAATCTCAAGATATTTTAGGCAGGCCAAGACACTGGCTTTTGAATGCACCACTTTTTAGGGAGTGCAGGTTTTGCAGGCGGGAAAAAAACGCGCATGTAAAGATATCTTGCGATTTTGTTGTCCGCTCAATTCATTTCATGATTTCCGTTAACATTTCATGAGGTCGGCCACTGGCTGTTCAAGGGAGTAATGCTTCGTGCCATCCGTCTCTAAATTAAGCACCACGCAAACTATCGTACCACATGTTCAAAAGTGAAGATGACGACTTGATGACGGGCCCTTTCACGGTTACTCATGACGCATTCACAAATGACAGGACATTTTCGATGCGTTTAAGCAGTGGATTACCTGCATTTTAGGACATCTAATTGAGAAAAAGGATTTGAATATCTATTTCGTTAAAATAGACAAAACAGCATGGGATTACCGACAAAAGCAAGGGAGACTGGAATGGCCATTTCTGGCTTATTAGCCGTCGTCAGCCAGTCATACCCAACCCCGAAGTGTGGAATACCCGAGGCTCGAACTCGCGACCTATTAGTTAGACGTCTACGCCTCTAACCATTGGGCCACGAGCTCGTTGTCCTGTCGGTTTCGATCGGGAATATACAATGGTAGGGGACGCTCAACGACCGTACTTACGGAACTCACTCGTTCCGTTGTACCTTACGGGCTCCATCTCTCGAGCCCAACCAGCAGCCGCACAGCGGCGCATGATATAGGCAGAATGATATTACCGACAAAGACAAGGGAGACTGGGATGGCCATTTCTGGCTTATTGGCCGTCGTCAGCCAGTCGGTAATCCCATACTGCCTATATCATGCGCCGCTGTGCGGCTGCTGGTTGGGCTCGAGAGAGAGAGAGAGCTCGTAAGGCTGGTGAGCGTCCGCTACCTTAGTTGCTACAACCATTGATCCAACTCATGAGATGTTAACCAAGATAATGAAATGCGCCTTCGCGCAAGAGGAATTACTTAGGTTAGGTTGTAATACTGATCATCATACAACAAAATCTCAAGATACTTTAGGCAGGCCAAGACAGTGGCTTTTGAATGCACCACTTTTTAGGGAGTGCAGGTTTTGCAGGCGCGTGAAACAAACGCGCATGCAAAGATATCTTGCGATTTTGTTTGCCCGCTCAATGCATTTCATGATTTCTGTCAACATTTCGTGAGGTCGGCCACGGGCTGTTCAAGTGAGTAATGCTTCTTAACATCCGCCTCCAAATTAAGTAGTAGTATAAACTACACCACACAAACTATCGTACTCCATGTTCAAAAGTGAAGATGACGACTTGATGACGGGCCCTTTAACGGTTACTCATGACGCATTCACAATGACATGGCAGTTTCAATACGTTTAAACAGTGGATTACCTGTAGGCGTTATTGGTGCATTTTAGGAAATATAATCGAAAAAAAATATTTGAATATCTATTTCGCCAAAATAGACAAAACGTTATATTCACCAGCAACTTTGTGGAGTCTTTACTCATAATTCGAAGCCTGCCTTTTGGAACTCCTTAATAGGTGCAGACGGACAGGAGCAGGTCTGAAGTCCCCTCTTCGTCCGGTGACCGAATCAAAAACACTTTGGAACCTGGAGTCAACCCACAAACGGCCAGAACTTATGCCAATTGGACCTGTCCCATATGCCAACTTGGCTTTCAAGCGAAACAGGAGTTACTTGATCACCGATCTTCCGAGCTACATGTAAGTTTTATAGTGCGTTTTGTTATCTCTTTTTAAATGCTCGTCTTACGTTCGTGCGTCTCGGTCTAACTTCGAAAGAAATTGCTATCGAATTTTGTTCCGACGTTAGAAAATGACTAGTCGATCTTAATGCATTATCGAGATTGCCATTTAGAGGTCCTATCGAGGCGAGTTTGATAAACGATCATTTTTGGTAGTCTATAATTACACGAGGACAATTGAGTAGTCTCTCATCCGAAGCCAATGTTGGCTCTAGGAAACGGGTGGTGAAAATTCACTTGATCCGTTTTATGAGAGGGAGGTGGGATAGCTGATGTTTTAGAGCAATTGATGCAGTATTGGGAGGGCTTTGTTGATGGCACTTTACCACTCTGTGTAATGAGTCGGAAACGGTCTGTCTCTCGTCCTCCGCTATTCACAGCACCACCACCACCACCACCACCACCACCACCACCACCACCACCACCACCACCACCACCACCACCACCACCACCACCACCACCACCACCACCACCACCATCCTCCTCCTCCTCCTCCTCCTCCTCCTCTCCCATGTCTCCCTCTCCTACACCCCCTCGGAGTTTCCGTTATAACCTTTTGCCTTTCTGACCAAGGATTCGCACCCTTTCAACTGTGCTCGAGGGACTTAACTTTAAAACGAGGTGAATTTCATCCTTAACAATGTTTTCAGACCTAGTCATTTAGAAATAACCAATGCTTGCGCCGGTTCCCAATGTTCGCAGATTAGGTACACTATTATTTATCGAAAGCTAATTCCCATGTTTGTTGATGTGTCTACAGGGAGGCTTTGCGGTTCTCATAAAACATCGCAAATTAGTCTGATTGATCTTTATACTCTGGAAAACAGTACTAAAAGAGAGGCTGATGAGCGCCTTCATAGTAACGTTCTTTAATGTAACCAAAAGGTGCTTGCGGCCCAGGTAATGGTTAATAATGGAGATTTCACCTTCTTGAAGGTAAAAACAAGGTGTTTGATTTTGAGTCCATTAGTTTCATTTGAATCATTAGATGTTGACATCAACGCTGGGGGCATCATTAATGCGTCCTTGGAAGGGCTGTAGGGCCAGCCTCGATTACAGCACTTCTATAGCTTATTTTTTTAAAATTTACAACCATTTGCATAATGTGAAACCAGTCGGGATGAATTTACACAAGGCCCATTTTACATTGTATTGCGAAGGCAAAATTTCGAAATCCAGGTGTATGTATAGTTGAAGAAGAAGGCTGGTAGAGCACCGGAACATTCTGTTTATTTTTTCTGGGCTTTCGAACTCGTGCAGGAGTCCATCGTCAGAGGTAGCAGCAATTATTGGGTGTGCTAGCCAATCATCGAACGATGGCGCAGGACTGGAGGTGTTCGCGCAGGGCTCTCTACGCTGGCGACAGATCGATAAATCGACTGACGGAGTTCTCATCCGAGGCCCAGGCTTTAATCAGTTCTATGCCTGTTTTTTTACGGCTTGGGCGATTATCTTGGTGACTGGGATGTTAAACCCATTTCGTAGGTGTGGGCGGCCACTTGTAATAATTCGTTCGTGTATGTGTGATCCGAGCATGTGTCTTCTTCACTTATGCACTACTTTTATTTTCCCCAGTTGTCGTTTTTTTGCATGCGATATCGACTTCGCTTGATCTATGGCATCGGTTGAGAATTTGCCTAGTGTGTAAAGCTGACAGTTAAAGCAAGCTGTAAATGAAGGAATTTAGTCTTGTAAGTTACACTTATGATGGCCATATAGGTTTTAGCTTTTCTAGTATCTGATTCTTGGGCAAGACGGCACATCAATAAATATAGTCCTCCGGGCCATTTGAATCGTCCAGGCTCAAATTCATGTCGCACGTTTGACTAATAAGGAATGACTGTTGCGTAGGCATGTACGCATGGCACCCTCGTTTTTTGCCGTCGAAATTAATTGCGACCGCTTGAGACATTTTTGAACTTCTGGGAGGTAGTAGAGGTTTGGAGTGGCGTACGTTTTTGTGCCATAACAAACAGATAGCCGCTGCTGGTGATTCACTTTGTTTAAGTGAGTAATACTCCCTCTGATGTAGAGGTGTCATCTTCGCAGTTGCTGCCAGTGAAACGACAAAATTAGACATGGCTATTTTTTAAAAACTAGTGAGGAGGATTTGTCTAGCTTTTCTTTTTACTATAGGTAGGGTTTTTTTCCTTTAAGCCGATATATCCTACATTTCAGAGACAGAGGGTTGCTGCGCTACCGCCATTGACAGCTGACGAACAAGAATCGAACAATGGCATCTTAGACAGGGTGACTTCTTTCTTTGGCTGGTAACCTCAAGTGCCGAGTCTCTTTTGAAGTCAGGAGCGCTCTGTGAACTATGACCCCTGACCAGTCCTCATCGGCACCAGTAACAACTTTCTTTAAACATTCCTGCCGATTTTCCTGGTCTATTTTTTACAGTTTTCTTCATTGTCATTAAGATTCCTCTCCCGTAAAATGGACGCATTTTATTCGTCAAATAGTACTTTGTTTTCTCTACTTTTTTTAACTTTGTCCACCTTGCACGTTTGTTTTTGTCCAGCCGGGGATCTTCGTCTAATGAAACAGTCTTCACGCTGTCCTCCTTGCTAGATAGCTGACTGATTTTTGACGATTGAAGTACCTGGTACACGACTATGTCGTCCGTCGTTCGCGCAAATACCATGAGTGCTTTTCATCTGGGTCGTAGTGTGGCCAACATGCATAGCATGCACCTTGCATAGATTTGTGACCATCCAGTGAGAGGTTTTTCCCTAATGGTTATTTATTTTTCACTCATAAGTTTGTTCAACTGGCTTTTACAAGTCATGATGAGAATATTTTAGGTTGTTTTATAGTACTGCGCTCGATGTGAACGGCAACCAATTGAAAATTTGAAATTATGTGTTTGAGAAACTACGTGTTGAGCGATAACGTAGGTAGTTTAGAGAGGATAGTGGCCGTTAGTCTGAAACGGCCAAAATTTTTGGAAGACAGAGCTTCGCAACACCATGTTTCACTGGCACGCGAAGCCCCATACCTGGCTGCATATTCGAACTGAGACGTCTCACCCATGTTTCTTTTAGTGTTCTAGTCAGCAGATGGCATTGTTGATTACCGCGAGTAAATCAAAAAAGAAGGTATAATCCAAGCATTTCACGAAAGAATGGACACATTATTCATGCCCCGCAAACACAGCAGTTGACTTAAGTGATGTGAGATGAAGAAATGGCACCTCCGAGTCAAAAGCGCTCCACTGTTCACTCCGCGGCTGGTGCTTATAAGTGATGTGCAGAGCGCTCTGCCGGTCAGATCCGGTTCGGTTCGCACACGCATTCGTCCTTTTTGTACTTGCTACAAAACTGTCCGTTAATCCGTGGGTTCCTAGTCAGCCAAGCTTCTGCATACCTGTCAACTGTCTGAGGAAAATAAAGTGCTCACCGGATCGAAAGACTTGTTCAGCTGACGTTTGGAAGAGCTGGGACAGCTCTCCATGATCAAAGCGTCTGGTGAAAAAATCGACCAGAATTTTGAATGGACAGCCGGATTAGTTGGCCTTGGGATAATCGATTTTTTTCTTCTTTCGCTGCCTTGGCCTACTGGCCGTCGCCTCTGAGTGTTGGTGGCCTCCTGTATTGTGTGCCGTCACCTCAATTGGGGGTAGTTGCGTTTG